AAAAGCCTTAGTAACAAAAGCAGCAATATTAACCAAAGCACAATAAAACAGGTAGGTCCTTGAACATCAGTCCTTTTAAAGTTATCGTGAAAAGACAGGGTATATGTGAGAAAGGAATGTGGAATCCATGAAATATCATATACACACGCTTCCCATGTAACTATATAGATATATAAAATGATGGTTTTGAGTATATAACTTCATATATAGATGTACTCTATCATCTATCTATCCATCTAATCTATTATCTATCTATCTATCTATCTATCTATCTATCTATCTATGTACTGAGAAAGAATGGAAAAGTATAGAGAATTCATAGTTGGAGTTGGTGGGAATATAAATTGGTACATCCACTATGGAAAACTGTATGGAGGTTCTTCGAAAAATTAAAAATAAAACTGTTATATAATCAAGCAATTCCACTTCTGGGTATATCCAAAGAAAATAAAAACACTAATTCAAAAAGATATATGCACCCCTGTGTTCACTGGACCATTTTACAATGGCCAAGATATGGAAAAACTCAAGAGTTCATCAATAGATGACTGGATAAAGAAGGTGTGTTTTATTTTCATACAAAATTTAAAAGGAATGAAGTCATTAAAAAGAATGAAGTGCTGCCATTTGCAATAACATGAGTGTACCCCAAGGATGTTATGCTAAGCAAATTAGAGGACAGGAATACTGTATTTCTGTGTTTGTTTATATGTGGAATCTAAAGAACAAATGAACAAACAAAACAAAACCCATACATACAGATGGGTACAACTATAGTCAATAATGTATTATAAATCTGTAAATTGCTAAGGAAGTAAAACTTAAAAGTTCTTATCACAAGGAAATATATCTGTAAGTTTGTATACTGACAGATAATAACTAAAGTTATTGTGGTGATCATTTTCCAATGTATGCAAATGTTGAATTATTATGTTGTATACTTAAAACTAATATAATGTTGTATGTTACTTATACTTCAATAAAAAATAGCAGTCAATAGTACTATTCTTGTATATCATTCTTTTTCTAGTAACCTAGTTTTAAAAGGAAAACTGGCATCCATTCCACTAATGCATGTCCTGCTTGAAGCTGTATCAGTCTTATAGATCCTCTGATACACTTCTGCTCCAAAACCATATTTTGGTCTATTAGGCTAATCTGGGGTTTATCTTAATTAAGAAGATATCTTTTTACAATCTTTCTAATCATAGTTTCCATTTAAACTGAGACTTTAACTGTCCCAGTGCTGATACCAATAGCCAGTAAAGAATTATCCTTCTTATGACTTCTGATCTGAAAATTGGAATATAATAGTTTTATTGGACTTGTGGCTAGACCCTAGCATATAATAAACTACAGAAATAAAAAGAACAATGCCTGATACTTAGTTTCCATGAATCCTTCCGATTTTTTTTCCATCTTATTTGCCTTAAGATACTATCAAGTTTGATTTTTCATAATGGTCTAATGATTTCCAGTTAGAATATGTACCTGAGTTTTTGATGAGGGGCTTCAAAACCTAATTTTTAAATAGAAATCAGTTTTAATTCTTGAACATCAATGAATATAACCTTAATATAATAATAAAATTTCATCTACTTAATTCATGACTAGGTCTATTCACTTAATATTGTGTTATAATCCTTTAAAATTTCTATGTTGTTTTTCATTTTCTATGTAACTCAAGAGGAAGGGGTATAGAGATGAGAACACTAATCTTGACCTCATTGATATAAGTTCTTTGTAATGGGAAGCAGGATCCAAGGCCAAATAAGTAAAATTAGGAAACATAATGGGGGGTGTGTGTTAAGTTTTTACAGGTAATTTGTATGATTCTTTTTCTAGTCAAAATAGTAATATTTAAAATTTCCTACTTGGTGGTGATACACATTTTTTGTAATGTTATTAAATTCAGACTATTACCTAGATGGAAACGGTTTTTCTAGATTGTCTTTATTAAGATAAACACTTGTTATGATTATTATAAAGACCGTAGACAATTACTCAGATAGCAAATATCCCCCTGTATGGAATGAGACTGCCTCATAGATTTTGCTGTAGTGGTTCAGCTTTTCCATTATTGTCTTCCCTTCACTGATGAAAAATTTTCATTGTCTTTATCCTTTTTGATATTATGTATGTCTCTTTATGATCTATATAGAACTTGACTTTCAAGAAAAGATTTGCAGTAGTGCAGTTCTGGAAATTTAAAATAATGGGCTTCTTTAGTGTCTTTTTAAGTGTATCCTTTTCATATAACAATTGCCAGGAGGCTACATGCCTCCCTTTATTTCTTTTTATTTATTTTTTGAGGTTTATGTATTTTTGAGTGAGAGAGAGAGAGAGACAGAGAGTGAGGGAGGGGCAGAGAGAGAGGGAGACCCAGATTCTGAAGCAGGCTCCAGAATGTTTTTCTAGATTAAAATTTTTAGTGTCATTTTCAGGGCGCCTGAGTGGCTCAGTTGGTTAAACATCCAACTTTGATCTTGCAGTTTTTGAGTTTGAGCCCCATGGTCAGGCTCTGTGCTGACAGCTTTGAACCTGGAGCCTTCTTCAGATTCTGTGTCTCCCTCTCTCTCTGCCCTCCCCAGCTCATGCCTTGTCTCTCTCTCTCTCAAAATAAATTGACTTTAAATTTTTTTTAAAATCTTAGTGTCATTTTGCTTTATATAAACTGAACATGGTTAAGAATTTTTAATTTAAAGGACTTTTAAAATACAGTATGTTCTCACTATAAATATACAGTGTGAATTATGAATAGTTCCCTCTTTCAAGCACTGGACAAGATAATAGAAAACATATAGCATATTATCAAAGCCAATAAAACAAACTAGACTTTTCATATAGTTTTAAAAAGTCAACATAAAGAAAATGAAAAAATAAAACAAAACCAGAGTAACAAGGTCATTAATTCTTCCGTTTGCGATACGGATCCCTTGATCCATTTACAATCCAGAGATGTAACAGAACAGGGTGGTAAAATTACTTTGGAAAATGCCAACTGACTCAAGACAAAGTAAGTCAGTCCTAAATAGTTTCCATTGGTGTCCTCTGTGGCCACGATTCCATTTCAGAGCCAAAGTCAGATACTTAACCAACTGAGCCACCCAGGCACCCTCCATGCCTCCCTTTATATCCTACTGATTGACTAAAAGAAAAGAAACAGTTATGTGATAGTCTCTAGTATCATATAACCTTTCCTCTATTATCATATCACCTTTGGTAAAAAGGGACTCTTTGCTTTTCAGTATAGGATCTATGAGAAAATTTGTTCTTGTCTATACAATTTACAAATAATTCTAGACATACTTTTATATCTTAAGATAAATTTACAGTGTCAATGTTTGGCTGCAAGAAACACAGTATAAAACAGAGGAAGTGTTATCATAAATTTTTATTTAAATAAAATAAATGATTGGTTACAGTAGAATACCCTTTTAATTTTTTAATTATAAATTTTGAGCCCTGGATATTATATGAGGAAAGAGAGATAACGTTCTCATAAACATGTCAGCATAATAATTGAAATGCTATCTGATTTATCTTAAAGTATTTTCCATTGTATACTGGCATTCATTTTTTGCTTATCGTAAATTATGTTTACCAATTGTTACTTTGTTCTTTTTTAACCATAATTTTTAAAGAGCTATGCTACTCTCTAGCTTAGTTTTCAATAACACCAATGTTTTTCTTCATCCTGATATGTACTTGTTTACACTATGAAATGAATGCTTTTGAATAATTGAAAATACTTTTTAATTGTCTACTTTATAAAATCACAGGAAAGTTACACATGTATCTTTATATTTATGTTATCACTTTTGTGTTTGGGATTTTCAGAAAAATATATTGATATGTTATAGAATGAACAAACTGAAAGTCAATTTTAAATAGTAATTTTAATACATATAAATCCAAGTGATTTTATTATTTAAATTATAATATGTTGATAATTTAATGTTATACAGATCAGATTTTTTTATTTACATTGCTTTTTAATCCATTAATGGTTGTATAAAGGTATTATCCAGTTCACCTTCAAGTGTATCTTGGCCTTAGGGTGGCTTTACAAATTTGAGAAAATACTGATGATAATAACAACATGATTTGTTATGTAATAGTAATGCCAGACCTTAGGGTTAAGTACTTTATATACCCTTAATAACCATCTGTTGAGTTTAGAACAGCAACTCCAAATTTTTCTATCTTAAAGATGAAAAACTTAAAGCTCAAAAAAGTTCTATAATTTATCTAAGGTCACTTAAGAAGTAGCAAGGGTGCCCCGGCAGCTCAGTTGTTTAAGCACCCAACTCGGGCTCAGGTCATGATCTTGGGCCCCGTGAGTGCGAGTCCTGCATCTGTCTCTGTGCTATCATGACATCTCAGACCCTGGAGCTTGCTTTGGACTTTGTTCCTCTCTCTCTATCTCTGCGTCTCCGCCACTCACGCTCTGTCTGTCTCTCTCAAAAAATACATAAACATTAAAAAGTTTTTTAAAAAGAGGCATAGTAGGGTTTTAAACCAAAACAGTATGTCCTTAAAGCCGTTGCTTTTAACCACTTCTATATTTAGTAGAGTGAGGGCCTGGATCAAGGCACATGCTCTAAAGAGCCAAAAGTTAAATATTCAGGGATTTTGTGAGCTGGTTGTTAAGCCACTAGCAATTTAAAATTAACCATGGTAGAAATATTAACACAATAAAAATCAATAAATGCTAAAAATTGGGACTTGTCCCACACTTTCGTCTCCTCCACCTGATAGTTTACTAGCATATTGTTGCCTTTACTGCCAAAGTTTTGTCAATATTTACTTACATATTAGGTTACAGATATAAGTAAAAGATGTAAATGTTTTAATCATTTTCTGAGTACTTCCTATAAACTACCATCCATTAAGAAATTTGCCATTGTTACTGAATGAAATGTCATCTTTTATTGTCATATCTAAAATAATTTTTTATAGAGAAGAGTCTAAAGTAATGAATTATCTCTTATTTTCAGTGATAGTAGAAACTGGGAAGATAATTTCTTTTGTGGCTTATATTAATTCTGGATATTGTAATATTTATAGAGATGTTGTAGGACTTATAAAACTACAACCCAAAAAAGTGGTAAGTTTTAAACTTATGTATTTTCTTTAATGGTAATTGAATCTAGCTTAATATTGCATATTTGTTATTTGTGTTGTGAAATTTCTGTTCAATTTTTAACTTTTTTATTGTTTCTTTTCACTGAGTTATAATATATAGGAATGTAATATACGTTGTAATTGAGTTGTAAGTCATAGGAATGACTAGAAGTACATTAAGAGATACTTAACATCTTTATTCCTTAGAGAAATATAAATTAAAACCACAACAAGGTAACACTTCAAGCATATCAGATTGGCTAAAATACATTTAACAAATGACTCAGAAATTCCACTCTAGATATTTACTCAAGACAAAAAAAAAGAAAAAGACAAATCTACAAAAGACTCACATGTATCTCTGTAAGCCAAAAACTATAAGTAATCCAAATGTCCAATGACAGTTGAATGAATAGAAACATTGTGAAATATTCATACAATGGAATGCTACACCTCAATAAAGAGAACTAATCATGCATACAAGAATATGGATGAATCTCAAAGCATTAGGTTGGGTAAAAACATGAAAGCCAAAAGACTGCAGGCTGCATAACTCCAGTCTTATGAAGTTCTAGAACAGGCAAAACACTAATGCAGAGTGATAAAAAAGTCAGAACTAATCTTTTTTTGGTCGGTCAGGCAGTCTTCACTGTAATTAAATTTAATATATAAACTGAGTTGAATTCTGCTATACTAGTTATATTTAGTGTGAGGATTTGCCATTTATATAAATGGCAATTCTCCAAGTGAGATATTGCTTTTGACCCTAGGATACTTGTTAAAGGCTTTCACCTCTTCTGAGTCCCTGTCATGTCATAACTCTGAGAGATATGTTCTTTTGAAAACTTGCTGCTCATCAACTCATCCCTGTTTCCATGGTGTTGAGGTCTCTCTGAAAAAATAATTTGGAGTTTCATCTTTTTCTCCAGAGATATGCATACTGAAAACCTGCAGGCCCTTTTCTTCTGTTTCTAATTTGGACCTAATTGCTAGTTCCCTGAATCAAATTCTCTTTCCATGTTTCTTTCTTATTTAAACAAAAAAGTCTGGGTGGAATTTCATCTTTGGCTATTAATTCCATCAATTCTGGTCCTGGCATCTGTGCTTAATTTCTTATTCTTTGTTAGTCCAGCCATGAACCGGGGCTGAGGTAACAAATGGTAGTTCACAAAACATTCAAAGCTAAGTTCTGTTTACAAAATGCTGCTGTAGGACCTTGAAAAATGGAATGAGCTCAAAAATTCATAAACATCTCGGTGGATTAAAAAATTAGGGGTACCTGGGTGGCTCATTTGGTTGAGCTTCCAACTCTTGATTTCAGTTGGGGTCATGATTCCAGGGTTGTGGGATCCAGATCCACATCAAATAAACTCTTTCTCTCTCCTTTTGCCTTTCTCCCCAACTTCTGCTCTCTTTATAAAAAAATATTTAAAAAATTATTTTGTAGATCACTAAATGACATTACTTTCAGTTACCTTCGATATGCTGAAGTTGCCTATCAATTAACTATTGTTCTATATAATTTAACTACATGTGTTAATAACTGTTATCTCTGATTTGAATGAAATTGCATGTTAAATACCACATACCAAAATACTTTACAGTGAGTTTCTGATGATAACAGTATTTATCCATTGTATGAAACTGGTTTTATTGAACATCAATTATCTATATCTCTTACAGAAAAAAATTCAAAAACTTGTTTGTATGGGTACACTTAAGGAGAAGGAATCTTTTGGTGAGATTAGTGTTCTTCTTCAACTTCCTTTCACATGCACAATAATTACTGGAGAAGAGGTTGAGATGGCAATCATTGAAGATAAGGATGTATTTGGTAAATACATACATCTCTTTTGTACCATTTTATTTGATGAGTTTTTGATAAGCATGAATGTATTTCACAGAATTATTAGGACACTCAAGTAAGTGTATGTGTATATATTTTATTTACAGAAACAAGATATCCTCTCTTAACACCTCTTACTTTGTCTGATTTAATTGTGCTACTTTTAGAATGTATTAACAGTATTTCAAAACACTTTGATTTGAAATTAATAAAATCTCAGCTTATTCCTAAATTATCATTAATAGCAACATACCTTTCCTTTATGAAGTATCTTTTGGTTTGTCATCTCTACAAATATTGCTTCTATGTTTCTGATTCAGGTCAAGGTATACTGTCTTCCAGTGTACAATGTAGATCAAGTGTATATGAAGGTCATGGCTTGTCGTGCTTGAAACTTTATCTGAAATTCTAGCATTCTGGAAATATTAAAAGAATAATATTTTAAGATTCATGCAGCCATCTGTGTTTGGTCCTTCAAACATTATACTCAAGTAGGATATGCACTCGACTATGAAGGATAAATGAACAGGGGTTAATAAGTAATGACATAATAGGATATTGAAGAAAGGTAAGATTTTTGTCTAATAAAACTAAAAATATCAAACATTAGATAAAGAATAAAAAAGTGAAAACAAAAATTAACATGGGTGAGAAGTTTGCTTTAAATAAACTCAATTGGAAACACTTTCATGATTATCCATGTATGATTGACTGAATCCCTTTATCCTGAATTTCAAGGGTTTTTCTTTTATATTTTTTTAGAGAATATTTACTCTCTACTTGCTTAATTGTGATTTTAACTTCAAACTCATATATCCATTTTTAAAAGTTATAAATTTGAAATATCATCGATTAATTTTATTTGTTTCTGTGACATTCAAATATAAACCCCCCTCAAGGTAAATATCACTTAAAAATAAATACTAACCATCAATTAAAATTACAATATTCTCACTTGTGGGCTAGGTTTTTCCTTTCCTGTATTAATAATGTTAACCAGTGCAAGGCAAATACACTGTGGACTCCTTTATGTAAATCAACATTTCACACATGAAAGTACTTCTTTAAAGCATGTATTAGAATCTTATTTTGCGCTCTGGCAATCTAAAATTAAAATAAATGGGTTAGTATAAGCTTTAGTGGTATTTTTTATGTGTGCTGTCCATACTTAAAATTTCCTTCTATGTTTTGTTCATTTAGTACTGATGTTCTAAAACTGCTGACATGTTGTGTGCCTAGTTAAACATTTTCTAAATAGAAAATTTCTTAAGGACTATATTTTGCTTGTTTTACCAAGACTTAGAATAAAATATTTTATAGTTGGTCTTTTAGCAACACAGGTGTGGGTCCACGTTTACATGGCTTTTATTCTATTTTACTTTTTAATTTTTTTAACGTTTATTTTTTAGAGACAGAAACAGAGCACAAGCAGGGTAGTGGCAGAGAGAGAAGGAGACACAGAATCCAAAGCAGGCTCTAGTCTCTGAGCTGACAGCACAGAGCTCAACGCAGGGCTCAAACCCACAACTGTGAGATGACCTGAGCCAAAGTCGGATACCTAACTGACTGAGCCACCCAAGCATCCTTCAAGGATTTTAGAGAGACAGAGTGTGAGTGGAGTAGGGGCAGAGAGACAGGGAGACACAGAATCTGAAGCAAGCCCTAGGCCCTAAGCTGTTATGACAGCACAGAGCCCATTGCTGGGCTTGACTCATGAACCCTGAGATCATGACCTGAACCAAAGTCGGGCACTTAACCGACTGAGCCACCCAGGTTCCCCTTTTTTGAATTTTCATATTACTTCATTCTTTTTCCATCTATTCCACTCTTTATTATCTGATATATGAATCCATCTCTGTAAAATAGCATAGGGAAGGACTTAAGAGAAAGTAAAATGTGCCTTAAAAAGTATCAAGTTGCTTAGATATGGAAGCATTAAAATAGAATAATAAATATGAGCAAAACCCAGAATGTGTCATCTTGTAATCAGGATGACATTGTTATTATTTGGTATATTAATTGTGAGGAATAATTGTATTTGAGGTGGTCCATTAAACAAATAAACAAAAAATAAATAAAACCAATATACTCTGAATGAATCTTCAGTTGTATGCGCATTACATTCCCTATGCTTTCTAATCTATCAAAGATTGTTAAACATACTATTTCTTTTTTTTAAATATTTTTATTTTTCTAGGGAGGAGAGAGAGAGAGAGAGAGAGCGTGAGCAGGGGAGGGTCAGAGAGAGAGGGAGATACAGACTCTGAAATAGGCTCCAGGCTCCGAGCTGGCAGTCAGCACAGAGCCCGACGCAGGGCTCAAACCCACGAACCGTGAGATCATGACCTAAGCGAAAATAGGACGCTTAACCAACTAAGCCACCCAGGCGCCCCTACACATACTATTTCTGTTTAGAATCGTAAATGTATTACTGGAAAACAAATTTAAAGTTCATATCTTTTCTCAAGTGTACAAGTCACTCGCTCTATTTGTTGCCACATAAATCATGTTACAGAGCCAATATTGCTTAAATGATCCAGTTTATCAACAATATTTAGTAAATACCTAAAGGGAACAGTGCATTTACCAATATCATACCTAGGGATAGGTAGAATAGAATTTAAGAAACATGAGAAATTATATAAATGTTAAATACTTTATCTGGAGAATTATACATACAACTATCTAAATATAATCATAAAGGAAGCCATGCAATTTAGTTTTGAAATATTTAAAAATACTTGAAGAGTGATTTCTTTGTTCATTTAGGATGTTTACTTTTGAAAGATGGGAAATAATTTATTTTGCAATTTATGTACATGCTTCTCAGACATTACCTTGTACATCTAAATAAAAATGAGAGTAGAAATATTATTAAGTTTAAGCAAATATAAGCATACTCTTTTTATATAATGCCGCTGGGAATATAGTTTATCATATTATTTTTATGAAGGTAATATATTTTTTGTCCAGATTCAGAACTTATACCTCAAGTCATTTAGATTAAAATTATGAATGCCAACTATTTTTATTTTACTGATATCAGAAATTCTCATCCTACCGTTAAAACAAGTGTACTACTTTGGTGATGAAACAGAATTGCTCTTCATATAAAACATGAATTACCACGGTTTTTAATTATATCTTATTCAACTATTCATGACTGAAAAAATAAGACACAGCTATAGATTTAAATTGTCTTTCCCAAAAGGAAAATTTCAATTTCAAGGTGACATTGCTACAAACTCTGAAAGTTTGTTTTTAATGGAAAGAATGTCCAAAGACCTTTATCTCTGATAATGATTGTCTTAATCAAAAGCCTAGGAAACTAGATTTTTTCTACTGTAGATAGGTCTTTTAGACATTTCAGGAACAATCAATGCATTCTTATCAAAAAGATCTACTTCCCAGTCCATCAGTATTTCTTTTTCTTGCTGAGGGGAGTTATAACGAGGTGTCTCCTTGGGAACAATGTTAATCAGAAGAGCCAAAACTGTTACACAATTTGCCAGAGTAAATATGCTTCCCTTTCATTTGGTTCTTTGTTTTTGCTGTATGATAAAATTTTGATTTAAAAATACATTTCCAAGTTAAAAATAAGGTATGACACTTAAAGTATATTTTCTCTTCTGAATCTTTTTTCTTCATTATGAATGTTGTTAAAAGGAAAAATGCAAATTAATTTGAATGAAATTTTTGCTTTATTTTGGGTTTTTATGGACAAAGTTATGGTTGAAAAAAGTATATTTCATATAACTGTTTCTCAATATATTATTTTATTTCATTAGGCATGTTATAAATATATTGAAGCACTGTTTTGCTAATGATAAAAGCAGCCAAATATTTTGAATATATTGCAGACATTTAAAGGTAGTTCTTGAGGAAATTAGTTTGCCTTAGGAAAATAGCATGAAACAATAATGTGTCTTATTTTGATTGATCGAGTTCCATTTTCCTCAGTCCTCGAAGCCATATTGGAATTTAAAAGAGCCTTTATTTTCCTGAGTTCTAAAGCAAATGAGGGGGGTGCCTGGGTGGCTTAGTCAGTTAAGCATCCTACTTTCACTTAGGTCATGATCTCGTGGTTCGTGGGTTCAAGCCCCGCGTTGGGCTCTGTGCTGACTGCCAGCTCAGAGCCTGGAGCCTGTTTCAGTCTGTGACTCCCTCTCTCTCTGACCCTCCCCTGCTCATGCTGTCTCTCTCTCTCTCTCTCTCTCTCTCTCCTAGGAAAAAAAAGAAAACATTAAAGCAAATGAGAACAAGACAAAGGAATAGAGTAGATGGGAGATCAAAATAGCAGCTTTATTGTTGACAAAAATTGGAGAATTAGTTCTTGTATCTTCAGACTAGAGTCCTAATCCTTTAGGCCAAAACTCACCTGGATTACCTACAGAGTCATTGCCAATGCTAGACGACACAGAAGATAGGGTAGGGTTTCCCAGTAGAAATTATGGAGAAGCAGGAAGAAACATCCTTCATGGTAGACAAGCTGGGTCCCAGGGGGAGGTGGAGAGGAGGTGTTAGAATTCAGTAGCTCCATCTTTGTTCCAGGATAGGAATGATTGACATGGCAGAAAGAGGCTGTGAACATTAAATTTTTCACAATCCTGCCTCCTGAAGAAGTCAGCTATAAATATTTCCTCTAATACTCTGCAGAAATCCCCACATCCATTGGGTCATTGTGTTGAACAGGAACACACAATTGCATTGCATCCTATGTATATAGTGTGTACACTCCTGCAGTTGAGGAAAGTTGTAATATTACCAAGTCTTATCAATTCTCCCTCCCAAATACCCCTTGAATTTCCTTCCTCATCTTTGTATCCAATGCCATATCTTAGTACATAATTTAATTATCTTCTACTTAGATTTCAAGTAGCCACTTAGTCTCCCTGTCTCTAGCTTTATTATTTCTAAGCCATTATTCATACAGTCCCTAATTAAACTTGCTACAATGCAAATCTGTTAGTCTCCTCCCTACTTAAAGCCTTTTGTTGACTCCCATCATCTATAGCAGTGCATCTTAATGTCTTCATCATGGAACACATAAAAATTGTGATATTTTAAAGACATTTATGGTAAATAAAGAAAGATACATTGTTCTCAATGTAAGTTATGACTTATCAGACTCCCTCCATCTCAATCCCTTTTAGCTCCACCAGGACCGAGGAGATCATCTGTATCTCACTGCACCTTAAGCCTTTAGTTACACACTAATTGAGAAACTCTGAACTCTATAGAAAGTTGAAAGTTCTTAAGAAAGCTTAAGATCTATTGCAATATGGGCTCTGCCAAACCACTTATCTCTTCATTCTTATTGCCTAACTGCTCATCAATATTTAACTAAGTATAATTTCTGGAAAATGCTGTGTTCTTTTATGCTTCTAAGCATTTCTCCGAAATGAGTTTTCTCT